CTGCAACAAAACTTCGTCAGTACAGAGGTAAGGAAGCCAGGTCATAAACTTAAACCAGCATCTTCCAGAACAGAGGGCATGATGTTGGCATGAGGTATGTCAGAGGATCACAGAGCCTTTGTGCAACCTTGGCACTGCTTGCTAATGGCCGTGTAATTCTCAGGGGCTCTCAAGTCACTCAGAAATCCAGACCACCTCCTAATACTTTAACATCCTCTGCTCTACTTCAATGTAGCAAACAGGTCTATGAATTAGAAAAATATCTCTCTATACATGTAACAATAATTATAGTTACGTCTTGACTTACTGTGTTAGTATGGACAAATTGGGGTATTACGGACTTCAATTCATTTGGCTGAACAAAAACATTATAACAGCTCTTGCTCATAAATCCTTACAGTGGCTAATCTCAGATGGAAGTTGCGTGGCTATTTGATGTCTATCAAACACAGGATTTTTTTTCTTCCAGGGACTGTAGAAATGATAAGGCCTCATGCAATCAGTGAAGTAGCACAGATTCATAGATTGTACAGATGTAAGGGAATATCCTAATCATGTCATGACGTACATAAAAAATATATACAGAAGTACCACAGACTTCTATCCCTCCTGCTAAAAGGGAGCCTCAACAGTAAATTCACTGATACTGACCAAGTATATTAACATTATTTTCATTACTGAGTGAGGACTTCTAGTCTCCTATTGCTTCTTGAATATGTATTTATATCCAAATTCAATAACAAGACTATTTAAAATAGATGAGTAGGCTCTGTCTCAGTTAAAAAAAAACAACACTAAACCAAAACAAAACTACAATAAAACAAAACAAAACAAAACTGCAAGGAAATTGAAAACGCTGTAAGAGGACCCAGCATTTCACAGAATCAAACCTGTGGGATGGGAATAGCTGATTTAGCTTGAAAAGTTAATCCATACAAAATGCACGCACTTCCTTTCCTGCTGTTATATCTTAAGAGGACTTCATAAGGTTATCACCATTTGCTCCCCCTGCCAAAGATAGCATATCTAGTATATGTACTTTTAAGCTAATTTAAAATAAACTCAGGCATTTGTTTCCACTTGCCCTTGTTTCCATGTCAACAGCACTTAATGAATGCATCATTCCAGGAAATGTCAATAAGGAGCAAAGAAGAATGAACAAGCACTGAAAACTTCACACATGGCATACATCCTTCACAATCATATCGCTTTAATGAAAATAGGTGAGGTCACCTGCAGCATTAGCAAGTGCTTTGTAATACATTCTGACCCAGATGATTTTTCACAGTTCAGTAACACCACGTTTGAAGTTTTCACGGCAAACAATACACCCACAGGACTGACCAAGTGCGGGTACAAGAGAAGCAACCAGCAATTACTGTGTTGACTTCTGTTACTTTGATCTCCGGGTCATGACCTTTGCTTTCACGCAATCTTCAAAGTAGAGATTGTAGAATAGGTTATTTTAGAGGACGCACTGTTTTGCAAGCTATTTTTCTGTGTTTCTTGCTTCCTGTTTGGGCCAAAAGCTTTTAAATCTTTCCTATCACCATTATATTTTAGATATTCTGCTTTCCCTTGCCCTCACCCCCAAGATATCCCTTTACAAAATATCACGTCCCAAATACAGAAAGCTTAAAAAATAAGATAAAAAGTAAGGGCTTACGGCACTGTCATCCGTGCCCCGCCACCCATTTATAATGATGGAAAAAAACATGAGGTTTTAAAATGAACCAAACAAGTTTCCTTATAAAAATACTGCAGAAGGGAACTTTCCATTTTCTTTTCCTGTCCAAGCAAAAATTCCAATAACAAACATAGAAATGTTTTCATCAATTTGTTCTCCTACACATTTGAAAGGTAAGGAAGAATAACAGGGATGAAAAAAAATGTTGGTGTTTTTTTTCTAAAATGATATCCCACTCAAATGTTACTATGTTTCTTAGAAAAAAATAACTACTTTGAGAAAAAGTCACAACAATGTTTTTGTATAAAACCTATTTTTAATGAAAAACTAGGGCAAAGCTTTAATATTGAAATTGATAGAAATGGTATACCTGAGGAACCAGATCGTAACTTCTTGACAAAAAGCATAGTTTTATACATTTTCCAAGTATTTATGATAAAACCTAATTATTTTTAAAAGACGTAATATTACTTTTTATCCCTGTTACTAATATCACAGTAAATCACTGGACCTTGTGTTTTAAAAAATTTGATTTTCCACGTTTTTTTAAGGTTGAGATTTTGGGGGTTTTACAGATCTTTTCAGTTTGTTGGAATGAGCAGATTAAGTAAAGCTTTGATTTCTAGCACCTTTTCCTTTCTTCTTGAGGAATTAAATAGCCTGAACTCTAATTGAACTCAGTAGGAATGAAATTAAAGCTCAATGAAAAATGAAGCTGTGGTTCCAATGGTCACTGCAAAAATTTACAAAAAGAAGTTCCTATTCAGAACAAAACAAAACCAGTTAAAGTTTATGGTAAAGCAAAATGTTTACATAATTCGGGTTCACTGAAATGCAATCTTTTGATGCTTTCTGTGTCACAAATTTTCTCAAAAAAAAGTTTATGGAAAAAAGTTACTTCATTAAAAAAAATGCTGAAACTGGCCATTTCAAATGTTTGCTTTTGAGATTTGAAGCAATACATTTGATAAAATACAAATAATTTCTCACTCAGGAGAGCTTGCTGCTGTTAAATCTGTGAGATAAATCCGTACGTTTGGGGGAAGGAAGAAAGAAGTTGTGTCCAAGATGCTTCAGAACGTGTATTCAAAACTCTGAATTAGCTATTCAGAGTAAAATTAGCAGAGTACTTTTAATTGGTTCCACCATGTAGGTGAATATATTCCCGGAAGGAAGGAAGGAAGGAAGGAAGGAAGGAAGGAAGGAAGGAAGGAAGGAAGGAAGGAAGGAAGGAAGGAAGAAAGATGGATGGATGGATGGATGGATGGATGGATGGATGGATGGATGGATGGATGCTTTTGGTTTTTGAGTCTAATGTTGTCTGGCAAATACATTTCATATAAAGTAACAAATAATTATGGAAAAGGATCAGGAAGCTTTCATTATAGCAGCAGAACCATAAATCATTCAACTAATTAGAAGTCCATTCTTCTTTCTTAAAAGAGCTTTAATTAACCTAGTTTATATGGAAAAAAATACCCAGGTTTTTGAAAAATTGAGGGGAAAGAACATGGAAGCAATGTTGCAGTTTCCAGCAGATGCATAAATACAATCACTTCACACTTTGACACGGTGGTTTGTCACGATGTGACCTAAAACTACCTTGACCTCCCTGAAATCAACATTTTTGCATTGAAATGAAACAACAGACATGCTTGTTTTGATGTATGGCTGTGTGACATATTATAAATATTACATCACATAACCACAGAGGATGTCAATCAATAAAGAATTTTTTCAGACAGCACTAAATGAACCATGGGTTCTTGCCTCTGAATGGCTCCTTTAACATACTACTTTTGCTTAAATGATTAATAGGGGACATATTGTCAGAAAACATACTTAAAGTGAAAAACAGTAAACTGTAGAAATATCATTCATTTTTTAAGCAATTCTCTAGTGCAAATGTCACATAAATTTACATACAGACAGCACTATTAGACTCTCATAAGCTGGATAGTAGGCATACCTTCCACTTAAGTGTGAAAGCAACGGGAAAATATTTTATTGAATCTAGGCTGCTCTACGTGGTGAAAACCAAAATGCTACAGCTAAGCTGAATTCAAAAGTTGAGAGTCTTCAGGCTAATGATAACCTAGAAATCCTTCTCAAAAATTTGGAACAAAGAAAAAAAAGTATATGCACACCCGGGACAGCTCTGCTGCTGTTTCAACTTACAACATATATGAGCAATAAACCGGTGCATCGAATTCATGCCACTTCCCAATAAACCTGCTTTTAGTCTCTGCCACTTTGTATTGTTTTATACTAACTTCTACAGCAGAGTTTGGATTACATGAAGATAAAATCAGAATTTTATTACAGAACTCTGAATACTGCGGGTGATCTGCTAATAAAAAGTAGGCTCAGGCTCTGCAAGGTCGGCAGCACGGTGACCAGTGCTGCTTGGCTCTGACTTGCCTCAGACAGCCATTTTCAGCCAATGTGAAAAATGCCAGCACACAAAGACTGAAATCTTGTATCAGATGTGAGCAAAGAAAAAGAAATCCAATTACTTTTTTTTTTTTTTTAAATAATCACTTGCCTAAAGGTTATAGCTATGAAAATTATGTCACTTCAGCAGACATTCTGTAAGTTTTGGATCTATCCTCACAGTCATCATGAGTCACAAGTATTTTTATTTTTAAAAAAATAACCCTTGTCATTTTTAGCAACATTTCATTTGGATCAGTTGGACATATAGTATTTTATCAGGCTTCCATATTAATTTCCAGATGGCCTTTTGTGTAATCTAGCTCATTAAAATTACATTATAGAGGTAGTTTGGGTTTTTTTTTATTTGAATCCAAACACTAACTGCTCTGAGTAAAGCAGCACAATACAGAAGGAGTCCTTTTTCCTGTGTTCTTTAATAGTGCCTTGATAACTATAGTAGAAGAAACTCATCACCGTAATTGAATGTTAGCAGAAGACAATGCAACTGGCTATCTAAGCGCAGTGATTTTTTTTTTTTACTGACTGTCACCCTTAGTGTATGTAAATGTTGCCTTACCTTGGCCTTAAAGAAGGAAAGGCCGTAAGTAGGCACATATGAGCACTCACATTCAGGAAATCCTGTGCACACCTGCTCAACTCAAACATGTGCCATACAGCACTGAAATATTTCTTGAGGTAGGGTTCCTGAGAGTGATCTCACCGAAATGGGGTTGCTCAAATTCCCAGAGGTTTCATCAGTGCTTTCAGAATAGAGTAGATATTTGTTTGAGACTCTGAGTTGGTTTTAGTTCAGTATTTTCCCAGTAATAAAACAAAATGGACATACCTTATCATATCTACAAGCAAAAACACTAACCTGTACCTCTGGTAGTCATCTTCATCCTTTTCTTTGCAGACCAGTTCATTTGGGCAGGCCATGTTTCCAAGCAAACTGAGATACTGTAGTGAGGGCACAACTTCAGCCAAATGATCCAAAAGGCTTTCTAATTCTGTTATGTGTCAAAGGTTGTGGGTTAAGGATTTGATGACATTAATGAAAAAAGCATTTAGAGTTGCATCACTGCTGATTTAAACATACATTTCAATAACTGACAATCAAATTTAGTATGGCATTCGGGAAAATGTCACATTAATTGTTCCAAGGGCAAACAGGGATAAACTTCAGTCAGTTTTTTGGCATGGAATGAAAGAATTCGGCTGTTTTGTCATTCTTTTCTCCTCCTTTCTTTCCTAGGTGGTTCACTACAAAACATTAAAACTTTGACAAAATGATGGATGCTGTGTGGTAAAATGGCTAGCAATTGCTGGAGCCATGAAACTTTTCCAGCATGGAAACAAACAGTTAGTTTCACAGCACATTCATCACTAATATATTCAGTCCACTGGAAAATGAGTTTAAAAAAAAAAAAAGAAAAAAGTCAAACCACAACAACCCACTTTCACTCACAGCATATAAATGCTTTGAGTGCCACAGCAACACATTCGTAATTACTCAATTAGTATATGTGAATTAATGCTTCACTAAGTGCAACTTAAAGACTTCAGTGCTACAAGTATTTTATATATGAAGCTTTAAAGTCTTGTAAAGCATAAAATTTTTCATTAAAACAGCCTTATATTTTGGTGTTCATGAGGCTTTTTAACTTAACGATATTCCTTAGAACATAAATAATGATGATACACCTTCAACATTGTAAACTATGTTACAACAAACAAGCAAACAAAGGTTAAAGTATCTTTTAACCACTGCAATATTGGAAATCACAGCTTAGGTTTAAGCATAACAACAATATTCAACCATTTGCACCCTGTTGATTGATCAAATAAAGCAAATTATTTTGTTGTAGTGTGACGGTCTCTAAGACTCGAACTATACATTCTTATTTACCTCAGTTTACATGCAAAGAAAAAGGCGTGATTCTCAAAGAAGATGCCATGCATATGCGTGTAAAAAGTTTTCAGTGTTTAAAAATTGCCTTAGACAATAGTAATAATTATTCAAAACCATTAAAGGGCATTTCATTGCTCTGTTTTTATCCACTCCTGCTGTTAGAGACGGCAACTATTGTTTTAAATCCTCAGTTCACTTGTGTTGCTATTATTTATACTTGATTTATGTGTTTCTGTTATCTTTGTTATTTTTAGCTGATGGAATTTACTTTATTTCTTCACCTCAATATCTTAAGGGCAAGAGAAGCAATACAAAATGGAAAGAGCAGCTTCATTGTTAAAAATGTGGTCTTCCTTTTGTAAGCCTGAAAGTTTATTTCCAAAAACACATGAAGATCATGCTGACAATTACTAATTTCAACATATTAAAATCAATGTATCTACACTCATAGTTAATGTTCTGTCCCATAAGGTCTGAAGAATCATACTCAAATATTTTGCGTGAGTGAGAAAAATGAGGATTTGAAATCAGTTCTATGAATTAATTAAAAAGGTAAAAATGCTAACTTTTAATTTGGCAAAGCCACATTATGGAATGCTATATGCCAGTAAGTAATCAACCAGACCCTAACAAAAATTGTCTTTTTGTAGCACCACATGATATAAATCTTCTTTGCTAGCCAGGATGAATCCCCAATCAAAATTTGGTGCTAATTCTCATCTTCTCACATCTGGAACTCAAGCTCACACATAAACTTTTTCACGGCTCTTTCAGGAAGTATGTGACTGTGATGGCAAGGTCACAAACTTTTTCCACACATGTTCAAGTGAAAGGCTTTTTAAAAATTTCCTAAGACTGTTAGAGAAGTGCTTGAATCTGGCACCCTCCCTCAGCCAGGAGAAACACTTAATTTCTTGCAGGACTGCTTAAGTTGCAAAAAGGTTCTCTGAGAGAAATAGTTTATTATTACAAAAGACAGTTATTTCCATAACAGCAATCACACAGGGGGTTAGCTATTGCAAGGCTTAGATTGTATCTGGCCATTTCCTATTGAAAGGAGAAAAAAACCAAACCAAAACAAAAACACAGCCACCAAACTTTTTGCTTCTTTTATGGAGTAAACAGGCGGAGTTTTTGCTTGCCAATTCAGTAGAGCTTTTTCTGGGGTAGAAGCTTTTCTCCCCAACGATTTGCTGAATGTGGAGTATGACATGTATTCTAACTCTCACCTGACCATGCAGACTTAGGGACAAATATCAAAATGTATTGCGATATGTAATGATGAAGAGCAGTATCAGTTTAGATTTGCAAAAAGTATAAGACTATGCATCGAAGTCCTATGGCAAGCAAAAGGGAGAGACACCAAATTCACTAAGAGTTTTGGGTACTTAACATTAGTTGATAATCTGCATCTCAAAAATCTAAATCTTCCCAAATTCGGAAATTAGTGTCTAGATTCGAATATCTCATATCTAAACCCTGAGCATTGATTTTAGATGCAGAAACACCCTCCTAAAAATTATCTCAGGCAAGGATGACCGGGAATCACACACAGATCTCTTACTGTGCAGTTCTGTGTGAGACTCCCCAGACCTTTTCTTTGTTATCATTTACCCCTCTCCCTCCACTAAAATAGATATTTAGCATCCTAGCATTATTTCAATTTCAGCTGCAACAGAAACATGTGCACAGGACAAACCCCAAGAACTGGACATCATCACATCAAAAGTAGGTGGTCATTAATTCATAGAAAAATTGAAGCTTTGCAGGCTTGGACAGCCCAAAAATAACAGGACACCAGCAACACTTGAGAACAAACCAACCTGTGGCTTATGACAGTCAACTTTTTTGTGCCAGAATCAGCAGTTATAAATAAAATAATTAAAATTTCTGTTGCTTAGGACTTTAACTATCTTTTCTCATCCCTCTTAAAAACAAAACAAAATGCAAGGTACAGATTATTTTTCCAAGAAGCCCCATCCACCTGCCATCACAGTTATTCTTTACAAAGCAGGTAGGAAAAAATAAATGATATCCTGTTCAAATTCTCATGATTGTTTCTCAGAGATGAGTCATAAGTCATGGTGCACTTCTAGTGTGCTGTTTAGTTAATTAGCATGTCATATACTTATTTTAATCACAATACTGGAACTACACAATGCCACCAAAAGTGTAGTCTTTCTAAAACAATGCTAGGAAAATACAGAGGGAGAAAATCAAAAGCAAGTCTGAAATTGCATTGCCAGCTTCCTTTTTATGGTTTATTGTTGCAGCCTAAGGAGTGTCATGTTGGTGCAATCAGAGCCAGAGCTGCAAAACCCTGCTGTGCCATTTCTAAGACCAATTTCAGCTCCATTCTCTCCAAAAAGGAAAGCCACAATTAAATCCATGGACAGTGCTAGCGAACATTTTTTTATTTATTTAAAGCTCTGTGACAACAGCCCTGAACTGATCTTTCTGAAGTCCGTGTCACTGGTCACCAGGTGGATATGTAACAGTGATGCAAATACTTACACTATAGTCTATTGTTTGAAAACTGGTTTACAGTGTCACTGTTATGACAATTAAAGTACCTTAGTGTAGCAATCCGTCTCCTAATTCAACAGTCACCATTACCAATCTATTAATGCCTCTCTTTCTAACAGAAGTTGACTAAAATGAAAATTTGTAACAACAAAAATTTTAAACTCTTCAGCTCTTTAGCTCACAAGCTAAAACATTAATTCTCAGCAATTACACAACAATAGTCCCCTCCAAAACCATAACCTGGCCTCCATGAATTATTAACAGAAACATACTAGACATACTTTAAAATTTCGTCCTCGTCAAAAGGACTACTGACTTCTTGCACCATTTCTAGTTTTTAATTAGGGAAACATTTAGAAGAACTGGGTATCTCATACTCAGATCACCTTTTTTAAGCCTCTTAATTATGTCACACATATGTATACCACACATGCATATTTACAGTAGACTGTTCACAGCATACATACGCACAAGCATACACAACCGTATCACCAGAGTTTCTGTTCAGAAAAACAAATGCTACCAACATCACTGAGACATTTAGCAATAGAACTACCTGGAAAAAATAGTACTGTGGTAGGTCCAGTTAAGCTGCAGAGCAGTATAATTTTTTGCAAGTTTTATGTGACCAAAAGTATCCTACAAATAAGCATGTTCTGACTTGTCTGTTTTCGCTCACTATCTGGTATCCGATACCATAGCTTTTTAGGTTCTCCAGAAGGCAAAAAGAACAAGCGAAAGCCCAAAGCAAATGATGCATCTCCCTTCTCTGGCTAAAAATTAACTGTCTATGCAAGCTCATAACATTTTTGTTTGTTTTGTAGAAAATCCTGTCGCCTGGATTAAAATTCTAGTGCTAGTCAGGACTATGGCCCCTTACAAACACTTCAGAGATTAGTTCCACGGTATTCAAGACTACTACCAAGGAAGGATCGGTGTGATTCAAAGTTAAATTGTCCCCAGGGAATATTACATTTGAACAAGGTCAAAGTTGTAAACTCTGAGAGGATAGTATAATGCCACTTTGCTTAGTCAATTTTAGGAGAACCTCACAAGCAGAGACAGCCGTTTTGGTGCTAAGATGTGTCTTGTGACAGCCAGCATAATTAAAAGACCATTCTTTTATACTTCTGAGAGGTTGAGTGGATTCACACAGAAACTACTGGATGGTGTCTCATGTGTTCCACTATTTGACACCTCTCTATTCTCGAGAGTCTCTTTAGCTGTGTCCTTTCACTAGTCCCTCCAGCATATTTCCAGGGCACAGACACTGCATGAATCCTTTATAGAGAGTAATATAAGGGTCCAGCTGCTTTAAGTACTGAGGACTGATGCTGGTCATCCCCAAACTCCATGCTGTTTCCTCTCTTACCCGTATTCTTGGTATAACCATATTCATGGTTGCTTTTCAGGGACAACTGCTGGTCAAACCTATGCAGAAAGAAACACAACCTTTGCTAACATTTTCTAAATGAAATTATTCTATATAACGCTATACAAATGCTATGCTAATAGATAACTGTCCAAACAAACTAACCTATATGTATTTCCTATCTTGCCACTCAATTATTTTTTGCAT